CTTTCGTTAACTTTCCAGACGGTTGCACAGCATTTCGCGTATGCTGGAAAATGAAAAAGAAAAATATATGGTTTCAACAAACATGCATTTGAAATGAAAGAAGCTATTTATTTTTTCCTAAACCTACCTACCGGAAATTACCTCTAGAGGAAACTATATTAGAGAAAAGGCCATGAGTGCCGGCAGACGAGCGATCGCGGGCGAATGCAGCTCCGACTAAAAACTGAATAACCAAACAATGCAAATTAGTGCCATCTCGCAACGCAGTCCGGAAACCGGCTTAGTAGCAGAGTAAAAACCACTAGAAAGTCAAAATGCAACTTATACTTTATTAGTATCCAAGCGTACACGTTACAAAAGCACGTGACATAGAACAAATCTGCAACAGTCTCGCTTTGTAAATATTTAGCAATCACGGTCACTCATCTGAATGTAAGAACATCCATTAACATGCAGACATTGAAAATTATCTTTTTTAAAAATAAAGAGAATAACATCGATTGTTCTACATAAAGTTTACATGCACGGCCATTAGGCAAATGATATTTTGATTTGTTGCAACGGGCTAAGCTGGACATTGCTCACCTTGACTTTTCGTCCATGATCCACGATCTTCTACACTTTTTTCATGAAAGAAATCAACCCAATTTTACTTTGGTCGTCGTTAAATTTTACAATGGACTAAGGAACGAACATTACCACGAGCGTATAAGAATCTTGTAAGTGCAAACCCCAGCTGAGATTCTTGTATCTGTGTTGCTTGCTCTGGTTCGATTCGTCGATACTTAGCGTAGAAGTCACTGTTCAGTGCGTTGTTTGCCAATACGTTTGAGCTGTTCCATCCAAAAACTTCAACAGAACTTCCATCTCGAAACAGAACTAGATGCAAAAAAACTTAGAATGTTTGCGCCTTTCATTCAACGGTCGCAAATGTTCTGTGTTTGACTAGAGATGTAATGGGATCTCATGCAAAAGGACCGACCAATTACATTACGGCCTAGAATGTCTCCAGGGAATTAGCGATAACATTCCCACACTCGCCGGTCACGGAATGAAATTTATTGAAATCTTTATTCCGAAAGCATAGGATTTGGAGGTTTATTCAATAAGTGATCTTCTTTGCGCACAAGCTTACTCACATTTCTTAGAGGTACAGTCAAAGTTTTCGCGCTATAAAAGCCGTAATCTGTGCCAAGGCTTTATCTGGCGATTCATGTTATTGCGGCGCTCAAGAAAGTCAGATCGACCGCAGCTGAATTGTAGCGTTACTGCAGCTACTTCGCAGTGTTTGAAAGTCGGCAACTGCACTGCAAAACCGCTGCCGAGAGCTTCAAAGAGCCTTCAAAGGCTGCACAGCGCTTTTGCATCCCGCTGCAACTTGAATGAAGCTGCTGTTTGGCTTCTAAAAGGCTGCTGAACAGCTGTAATTTAGCTGTACAGCTATTTTGCAGCGATTTTGTGGCGCTGTACAGCGCTGCAAGTTTCGTACGGGTATGAACGAACTCCTCAAAGACTACGTTTGAGGAAAGTATTTCAAATTTCAAAAAACAATTGATTGACAGAGGGTACCCACAAACTATGATAGAAAACCTTCTATCAGATATAAGAGAGGGAGTCTGCCAGTCCGGGTGAAATCTGTTTCTGGATATACATTGTCCTGCGATGTGATTGGAGGAGACAGAACCAAAACAAAACAAGTTTGGCCGAGAGAAACTGGAATCAGTGATGAGGTGACAAGAAAAATTTTCTAAGCGGCCATATTAAAAATACGTGAAGTAGATACAATAACTATATTTATTGACCACGTTAATAAGTATATTTTAAGCTACAATGTCTCTACAGACATCTCCTCCTTCCTCTCGCACTTGATAAGGGTCATCCCTCCAACACAATCGTTGCGTAAATCATTGGTCTGAAGATACAAGGAGGGTGGGGATGTATGCCTCACTGCCGGCCTGCTTGTTCTTAGCAAATTTCTGGGTAGAGGAAGGTTCCATTGACAAACATGGCTCTCCATTTACAGTTCTATTTTAAGAGAGAAAACCTAAGTGAGATTCAAAAAGAAAAAGGGACGGGGTTTTCCTTTGTATAATAAATAGGTCGCAAATTAAGGTATAGCCTTCAACTTACCCTTCCATTCGAGTGATTTGGCCGCTTTTGAACATTTTACAAAGGGCTTCATTTAGAAAGTATTGTACCCTACCAATCTTTGACGGTTTAACATCTTTCAGTGTATAAGACTTCCTCTGCGACTTGCTATAGAGGACTGTTCTCCGCAGATCCTGTGGAATACTGTGCATCTCACTTAGGAGAAAGCACGCCAGTGCGTGTGGATCGTATGCATTGTCATCACATTGAATTGTCAATGGTGTTCCAACTGGAGCTTTAATCTTGAAATGATGGTAACTGGAAAACAAAGGCCATATTAATAAAAGTTACTGAACAAAAAAGTGCTGTCTAAATGTCCAGAAAAAAATTAAAATAAAAGTACCATGCGTAAAGGGTTGTCTGGAAACCAATTTTGTAGAGGTACCATTGAAGTCGCCATGATTGCCGTGAATTCGAATGGGCACTGTAAAAGATAAACTATGTTTCAACAAACTCTATAGATCAGAGCTATAACTAGGAGTAATCGGAGCTTAGGATAGTGTGTTCGATGTGTTTGTTAGGCATACAGGAAGCAGTTGAGGGGGAAGGGTGGTTGCGATATAGGTAAATATGATTATGGCATATTTTGAACGTAAGGGTTATGTACAGCGAACCTCTATTTAAACTGTGTATCATTATAAAAAGGTTTTGAAAAGATATCGTATGGTTCAATGTCAAGTGCTTGTAATCAGAGGAGACACTGGCCAGAGTATTCAGGCGTGTAAATAGAACATTTTGTTCTACTGGCCGCGATTACAGGGCGCAGTTGTTCAAAGGCCGATTAGTGCTTAACCCGGGATTCTTTTTCTTTGTTCGAGAACATTTCTTGGGATAATTTTCTCTGTTATTGTTAAGAATGTTGACAAAATGAATTAAACTGTTTTATACTTTTTTAAAAGCTTTCACATCTGAATTCAAATTTCGCACTAACCCTGTCAAAGCCTGCAGTGCAATGTGTGTGCGGCTCACGTCAATAACTTTTCCAGTAATCTGGTCGAGTGTGTTCATTTCAGTGACTCGAGAGTGGCGCTACTTTGGGCTGGTTTATAAGTTTTTCCAAATAAGTAACATAGAGTTAAAGTGTTTGTTTGTCCGGTGCCAAAAATATCACAACTCATTATCAAATGGCGCTAGTTTTACTTTGTGGCACAATGGCTGCCGAGCTACAAAACTTGGTAGATTTACTTTGAGACACATCGGCAGGCGAGCTACACAACTCAGTAGATTTACTTTGTGGCACAACGGCCGCCGAACTTAACACCTGTTTGATGGATGCACCAGGAGTCGCACACATTTTCCAAAGACAGTGACGAACCATGCTGAAAAATATGAAGGCATAATCCAAAGTAAAATAACCAACAAACTTCTGATAGATGAACGCTTTGGAAGATTCAGCAAACACAAATGTTTCAAAGTTCAAACGGCCAAAGTTTCCCTCTTACATCAAGTTTGTTGGGTTGCGATTTACTAAAGGATACGGGAATGTTGTTCCTCTTTGCTTTCTTGAAGGTATCCATTTGCTTACTTCTTACTTCTTCTTGTCACCAATTCTTGCAGGAGGTCCCTAAACATCTGAAAGTTGGTACCTTTAAGACGAGAGCCCAAGGCTGGAGGTTTATTCAATAAGTGATCTTCTTTGCGCACAAGCTTACTCACATTTCTTAGAGGTACAGTCAAAGTTTTCGCGTTATAAAAGCCGTAATCTGTGCTAAGGCTTTAAGCTGAATTGTAGCATTACTGCAGCTACTTTGCAGCGTTTGAAAATCAGCAACTGCGCTGCAAAACCGCTGCCGAGAGCTTCAAAGAGCCTTCAAAGGCTGCACAGCGCTTTTGCATCCCGCTGCAACTTGAATGAAGCTGCTGTTTGGCTTCCAAAAGGCTGCTGAACAGCTGTAATTTAGCTGTACAGCTGTTTTGTAGCGATTTTGTGGCGCTGTACAGCGCTGCAAGTTTCGTACGGGTATAAATGAACTCCTCAAAGACTACGTTTGAGGAAAGTATTTCAAATTTCAAAAAACAACTGATTGACAGAGGGTACTCACAAACTATGATAGAAAACCCTCTATCAGATATAAGAGAGGGAGTCTGCCAGTCCGGGTGAAATCCGTTTCTGGATATACATTGTCCTGCGATGTGATTGGACGAGACAGAACCAAAACAAAACAAGTTTGGCCGAGAGAAACTGGAATCAGTGATGAGGTGACAAGAAAAATTTTCTAAGCGGCCATATTAAAAATACACAAAGTAGATACAATAACTATATTTATTGACCACGTTAATAAGTATATTTTAAGCTACAATATCTCTACAGACATCTCCTCCTTGCTCTCGCACTTGATAAGGGTCTTCCCTCCAACACAATCGTTGCGTAAATCGTTGGTCTGAAGATACGAGGAGGGTGGGGATGTATGCCTCACTGCCGGCCTGCTTGTTCTTAGCAAATTTCTCGGTAGAGGAAGGTTCCATTGACAAACATGGCTCTCCATTTACAGTTCTATTTTAAGAGAGAAAACCTTAGTGAGATTCAAAAAGAAAAAGGGACGGGGTTTCCCTTTGTATAATAAATAGGTCGCAAATTAGGGTAAAGCCTTCAACTTACCCTTCCGTTTGAGTGATTTGGCCGCTTTTGAACATTTTACAAAGGGCTTCATTTAGAAAGTGTTGTACCCTACCAATCTTTGACGGTTTAACATCTTTCAGTGTATAAGACTTCCTCTGCGACTTGCTATAGAGGACTGTTCTCCGCAGATCCTGTGGAATACTGTGCATCTCACTTAGGAGAAAGCACGCCAGTACGTGTGGATCGTATGCATTGTCGTCGCATTGAATTGTCAATGGTGTTCCAACTGGAG